ATATTCTGAACAAGAAAAGGAAGTTCATCTCATAGAAGATGATCAAAGATTTTAAGGAATACATGATAAAGACATTCGAGATGACTGGTTTGGTTTGATGAATTATTATCTTGGGATATAAGTATTTCAAAATGAAAGAGGGATCTTCATCTCATAAAAGAAATATATAAAAATCTTTTAAAGAAGTTCCAACGGAACAATTGCATGATAGTAGGTACTCAATTTGACAATAAAACAAATTTGAAAAATGATAATGCACCAAAGGCTGACAACACATTTTATTGAAGTCTCATTAGAAGCTTAATTTATCTAACTACTACGAGACCAAACATCATGTATGCAACAAGGTTAGTCTCAAGACTTATGAAAAGTCCAAGCAAAGCTCATCAAATAACAGCTAAGAGAGTTCTTAGATATCTACGAGGAATAAAGAACTTTGACATCTGGAATGAATCTATTCCTAACTCAAAACTAGTTGGATGTACTGATAGTGATTAGGTCAGATCAGTGAATAACAACAAGAACACCTCAAGATATGCATTGATATTATTGTCTGGAATATTTTTTTGGGCATCAAAGAAATAAGCAATAGTTGCGCAACTGTCAATTTATGCATAGTATATTGCAACTGCCACAACTACAAGCAAGGCTATATATATGGCTAAAATATATAATATAAGATATGATCTAGCAAAAAAAGAGCTATAAAAATTTATTATGAAAGCAAATTAGTTATATCAACGACTAAAGATCCTATATTTCATGACATAACTAAACAATTTCGTATCAAACATCATTTCACTAAAAAAGCTGAGGTCAATCGATAAATTCAACTTAAGCACTACAAAACTGAAGAACAATTAGAAGACATTCATAAAAAGCACTTCCAAAAGAAAAATTTGAACTATCACATAATATGATTGGAGTAATTGAAATACGCATGGAGGAGTGTTAAGATTGATGCTTATTTCTCCAATATTATAGAATATTCTATATAGTCTTAAGTACAAAATTAAATAAGAATACTCTAGAATATTTAATTAGAAAGACTGTATAGTATATTTTTGTAGAAAGATTTGTAAGAGTTTTGAACTTTCTATATTTAGCATTTCATTCATATAAATAAGCATAATCATGATATTATTATGATAAACTTAATTAGTCTCAACAAAGTTAAGTAATAAAATTTTAGTTCTTTACTTCAAAATTTTCCAACATTATTTTCCTTTTCAGTTCCCATATTTTATTAGGAGGCAAAAGATCTTCTTTTTAATTTTAATTGGGATAAACTCAAATCAACTATCACATTGTCCTGCCCCCTCTTATTGTGCTTCATTATGAACAAATAGTGCATAAAAATCTCCTTTTAGCCCCATGTTTGGGTCACATGTCATGCAACAACATGTCCATGAAAACATCATCGTCGTCTTCTTCATGGTCCTCCAACCTCCAGTGCCCATCCTTACCCTGAGCCATCCCCTTGTTCTTCTCCACCCACCAAGAAATCGGAATCATGCACTCATCCTTCACAGCATCCATATATTTGTTAAGCAAAGCAATGTCTCTGTCCACCACCAGCTTGAACTCACCATTACTCCCTTGTGTTCCGGCCACCCCATGCATGTAGGCCTCCAAGCTGTGCCAGCCCTCCGGCCCACCAGGCGACTTCATGAACTTCGACTTCTGTGCATCGATGACGAGCTCGGCGCCGACTTCTGTATATCCTAGGAGGGGATACCTGGGGACTAAGTCCGGGCTGTTGGTGATGCGCAGCAACCGCAGATCCGGAGCCAGGTAGTCGAATGCCTTCTTGAAGGCAGCATCGCCGACGTGCGGGCTCGCGAAGACGATGGCGGTGACAGGAGCGGAGCGGTCTGGATGGCCAGTTGGCTTGTTGTATCCATGAGCAACAATGTCCATGGAGCAAATGGCGGCGAGAGCAGCGCCGAGGCTATGGCCTGTAAGGGTGATGCTCACCTCCTCGTCTCGGTACAAGTCAATTAGCCTTCTGATTTCTTTGAGCACCTAGATAAGATATGACGACTAATATGATTATTGATAGAGCCATATAAAATATGTGTAGATTGGTGATGTTATGATGATATTGTGATTGTATTGTGATAAATATCACCACAATATTATTGTAATATCACCAAATTCATATCTATCTGCAGTTTAATCCCATGTTTTAATGTCTCTATCACTTGCGTTGTTGCCAAAAATATATAATATTATATAAAGCAGAAATAAACAGTTGAAGTCTAACTTTGGTTCGTTGTATTCCAATATGGAGGGCTTTCAGGAAGTCAACATCTGTAATACATATTTCGTGCAGGCAACAATCTTAGATGAGGAATCTGAGAAGTTGATTGCAATTTTTTCTTACTAATTTTTGAGATGTAACCTCCTTGACTGAGAATATATAATAATTTATGTACTTCCTATATTCATCCTAGAAATGAATAACATTTCGTTGGAACTTGTAAATCATCTCTAGCTAGTTTATAAGAAAAATTTCGGGTTGATAATGGGCGGTTGACATGACATTGTAACTTAGTAAAATTATATTTTAAGAAAGAGCGAATTATTGAGAGTCCAATAAAATCACGTCAAGTGACGGTGATAGGAAAATAAAATAAAATTTGTCCGATAATATAGATTAGTAAAATTATATTTTAAGAAAGAGCGAATTATTCAGAGTCCAACAAAATTACGTCAAGTGATGATGACACAAAAATAAAATAAAATTTGTCCGGTAATATAGGAAAATATTTTTTTCATGTCATTCATTATTATTCATGTATTATTGTATGTTATTCATATGTTATTGTATGTTTTTCAGATGTTATTGTGTTATGACAATATTTTCGGTGTTATAATAACACAATAACACATCAATAAAACTTAAATAAAACACAATAACACATGAATAACACAGGAGGAATAATCTCTTGTGTTACTGGACAGATTTTATTTTTATCTGTCACTGCCACGTGACGTTATTTTGTTGGACTTCAAATAATTTTCTACGTTAAGAGTCCTAGCAGAATAATTTTCCAAGAAAGATGTAGCTACCATAAATAAATAAATAAATTTTTTTTTCCTTTTAGATGTGCCCCATATTAGCATTTTTGAATCAGGAAGAATGCTAATTGAAACTGGATATCTAATTAAAATTTTGAACAACAAGCCTTGCATGATGGTGGGCCATTGAGTACATAGACATTAAATCCAGGCTCTTGTGATTTTATCTTGTAGGGGAAAAAATATTACGTTCAGTCAATCGAATACCTGAATGATGGTATTGATCATATCATGTCATGGAGTTCACAATGTGATATGATCCATGCCGTTATCTGCACATCGTATTAGTTAACGGAAAAAAAAAAACTATATATTTCTTTCTCATTTTACCGATAGAAAATATTATAAGAAAAAAAAAGAAGTTATTACATCCATAACCATTGAATGTAAAATTAAATTATATTTTTTACATATCATTTTGATAAAAACATATGAAGTTGGAAATCAATTTTAATAGTTATCAACATTCAATAATATATTATTTTAACAAATTTACTATTAAATTTAACATGAAAAATTTAAGGGGGTGTTTGATACCAATACTTTTTAGCAAAATTTAAGTATGAATTTAAAGTAAATCCACCCAAATCTCATAAACATATTAGATATATCAGTTCTCATGTAAAATCTAATTTTTATTTGTTTTGTTTATTAAATTCACTTATTAATTAAATTTAATGGATCTAACTTTAAAAAATATATTTCAAATATATTTATATTACACGGATAAAATAAATTTAACTAAATTTAATCTTAATTGAACAAAAAATTTAATAAACTCAAATTTTACGAAATTTACTAAATCCTACATGGAGCAAAACAGCCCCCTAACTTGAGAAAAATTTGCATACGTAAGATGTACACAACGCTGCGTACGTCAGGGAGGTTATTCAGAGAATATTGGGGGGTTATATCTGTGTTATACCCCTTGTAATTTTTATGTAACTTAACTGTAACATATTTGTAACCTTCAAATATATGAAAACAGAAGCGTCTAATTTACTAGAAGGTACAACTAGATTATAGATATGTTACATGGAAGTTACAAAGATTATAACACTGATATAACCTCCCAATACCCTGACATACTACCCCAACTTTAAAACACAAATTAATCTCCTTAACCAAAATTAAGCGAGCAATCAATCCCCTCACCTGATCTCTAGCACTCTTCTTATTGAACGGCGACTCCGCATTCTCCGTCGTATAAATCGACTTCCATCCCAAATACACTCTCGGCTCATCCCCACCATCCCACAATCTACCCCCAACAATATCCCCCGCCGGAACCAACACAGACTGCAAATCACTCACCCATTCCAGCGGCCTCACCGTCCCCCTCCACGCCACCACCACATCTCGCCGCCCCACCGCCGCCTTCCCCTCATCCGTAGCCACGGCAACATACCCCATCCAATTTGACTCCTTTAGCCTCCACTCCTTCCTCCCCGACCTCAATATGAACCCTCCCTGCATCTCCACCCCTGCAGTCGCATAAACAAACTTCGTTACCCTGTACCTGTACGCGCGTCCCGCGGTGAGGCACACTTTGTCGAAGAAATCATGGCGGCCGTACCGCGGCGCGCCGGTGAATTGCGAGGCCTCCTCGTCGTTGAAGGCGTCGTATACGGCCTGGGATAGCTCCCCGTAGTTGATGATGTGTTGGCGGAGATCGGGGTGCAGGGGATCCAGAAGAGCTTCCCAGTTGTTAATGCCGCTTAGTTCGCGCCAGGGCTGAGTGATTTTGTGTGGAGCCATGGGGTGGGAGAATGATGGGAGGGTTGGGATTAATAAGGATTTGAAGTCGCATGATGTAACATTTGGTTTGGTTTGGTTCTGGATTTCGTGCAAGATTGGGTTTTTTGGCGAAATGGAGTTCGAAATTATCTCCTTGGGTTGTGGATGAGGTATGTGTTGCAGAGAAGTTTTGCTGGTTGAGAGTGCTTAGAGAGTCATTTTCAGGGATATGTTTTGCCTTTTAAATGTCTGAGCTTATCGTCCGACTGCTTTCTGGCTCGGTCTGGTGAGCTTGATTGTCTTCGAGTTTGTAGGATCAGTCTGGTCAGCTGAGATTTGCCTTTTAAATGTCTGAGCTTATCGTCCGACTGTTTTCTGGCTCGGTCTGGTGAGCTTGATTCCACTTGGCTAGATGAGATCGGCTTGGTCAGCCAAGCTTTGTTAATATGGGTTGGCTGGTTGATATGACATGGCTTTCGATCCTTGACCCCTAATGAGAACTTGGGATGGTTGGAGATGCTTGGGAATTGGGTCTTCCCTCGAACTGTCTTTCTCGCAATGATTGGCTTGGATACATCTTTGTCTCGTCGTTTATGCCCGAATGATTTGTGCTCAGATCATTTTGTTATCTTTTTTGTTCTCCCTGTGACTCAGTCAGCTTTGACCTTATTAGTTTTGTCTTGAACAACTTCGCTCGGTCGGATAAGTTGGCGTCATGATCTTTTGTATGTGGACCCTTCTTCATCATACTATTTTCTTCCAGACCCAGATCTCCTCAATATCAGCGTTAACTCATTATTTATGTACATAGACAAATTAAATATTTCATATTCTTGAAACTATAACTGTAAATCAATTCTATCTAGTATATAAGAAAAAAAGCTAAGATAATTTTATATAGTTATCATTATAAGTTAGTAAAATTGTCATTTTAAAATAGAAATAACTATCTAGTAATAATAAAAAAAATTCCAACATATTTTTTTTCCATTATAATCGACTCACATCAGCATTTTTGGCGCAGGAAGAGTACATACTGAAACTGGATATCTTATTTTTATTCTGAACTAGCCTTGCAAGAAAGAAAAAGTTTGGTTACTCTCCTACATTGTAAATAAAATATTTATAAGAATATATTAGGCTAAAAATTCAAATAGCAAGTAAGCACAGATTATACTCCGAAGTTAATTAGCAAGACCTTTAAAAGTCATGGCAAGCGTGGTGTGATACGTGACACCTCCTTGTCACTGAAGTCATAGATGTTCTTTTCTAATTTTCTATGGTTGATGATTTGATGGAGTCAGGTGCAGAGAATCAATCTTCTGTGGCGCCATCATCGGAGTTTAAGAGAGGCAGCTTGTGCTTATCCGGATAAATCATTTATATCTGGAGACGAGGACCAACTGTTTTTTCAGATAAATTACTCAAACGCAGTTTCCAAATAATGAAGCGATGTTTTCAAAACGCCGCTACAACGGATAAGCTGCCCCAAACAGAGTCTAAATTACTGCACCAAGTGCTTAATAAGTCAATGCTTTGGAAAGCATTTCGTGCAACATTCAGTTTTATTGATTTGCATTTTATCGCTTAGGATTTGAAATCACATCCCCATCGCTTCTGAATAAGGTAATAGTGCTGCAGGAAACCATTGTTGATTGAGAATGCTCCAACGTTCATCTTCATGAAATCTAATATTTAAAAATTGTTACCGTTGGGTTGCTTAGGATTAGCCATTAAAAAACTTCCTTGGTGTTCTTTGCTACTTTTAGAAGGAAACATTGTGATTTGTGAATGGAAGAGTTATTGCTTCAACTGTGATTGGTGGACAGAACTTTCAAAGCTCATGAGTTAATAATTTATTGGAAGAAGCAGGAACATTTTGAAAAAAAATTGAAAATTTATGGGCGATAATGTTGATTTCTTTGATATTGTGCGGGTAATATTTCATGTAATTTTTTCTGTTATGTTAATATTTTTTTTTTTAGTTTGGTTTTTTTAAAATATTATTTATTTGCAGTGTTTAAAGGAGAGTAAAAGTTATAGTATTTTAAAATATTTTTTTTGTATTAAATTAAAAAATATATATATAATATTAAATTTTATTTGAATATATTAGCAAAGAAAGCTATACTTATAGAAAAAAATTTAAAATAAATTTTTGAATATAAATTTGAATCATATAATTTTATATTTTATTTTTAATATACAAAGAAGACTAGAGTATAATTTTTTTTAAAAAAAATGTTTATTTTATGGATTAATATATTATTGGAATATTTTTTAAAAAGATTGCAATAATAATTATTCACTAAGTAGGAGGGGTTATTTAATTAATAAAATTTATCCTATAAAAAATGTCATTAACAATCTCAATATTAATTTTTTTTTAAATGTTTAAAGTATTAATTTGTATTTTACTTTAACCTATGAATTTTAAAGAATAATTTGAGCGATATATTATTCGCAAGATCAGTTATGTACTCGATAATTTATATAAAAATATGTGAAAAATAAATAATAAAAAATATGAAGATAAATTAAATAAAGTAAAATCATGTACATCTCAAATGCTAATGAATAAAAATGCATCGTAAAATGTTTTTTTCTTTTTTTAATTGCCCAACTATCACCTATGGCACTATCTAAGCAGTTAATTGAACATGTCATGCTTGATCCTGTGACTAGTGCTGCTACTCCTATAAATGCTCAAGTGCATCCTCCTTTTCTGTCAAAATAGATTATTTTATTTTATATAACATGAGCCGGTGCTCCACTGGTACTTAGTTGACATTGGTCTCCGAAAACTACTTCTCTTGTGAATGTGTGTGGCAGTGGGCATCTAGAACTACCCTAGTGTTGAGATGTAGAAGGTCCACTTTGTGGTGTCACTAAAGAAATCTTTTTTTCAAAAAAACGTGTTGACGGCATAAAAAGTGATTATCAATAAATACCTCCCCTTAGTAATCCCCACTATAAATCATTTGATGGTCACCTCGGACAAGTTAGAAGGGGTGAAGGTCTGTATAAGGAAATTCCAATGGCTACCCAATTGAACGATTAGGGGTTGTCATTGGACGGTGGTGAAACTTCTACATTCTCAGCTGTAACATTATATTTTTATGGTGTATTTGACAAGTAGAGTGATCGACGTATTTAACTACATATTTCATCTAGGTTATAAAAAACCAACTATCTCGAATACCCATATAATCTGACTCATATGATTGTAGAACCTGTTTGCATGATCTTTATATATGACAATAAAAATCATGTAACTTTCAAAATTAAGTTTTAAAACCCACGATATTACCGAAAGAGAAAAATAATTTTGGGGTATTTTGTAGAGAGAATAATAAGATTTTGAGCTTTGTGTTTTTTGAAATTATTTCAAAGTAATTAGTCGTACTAGTTTTATCTTTTTTTAATGTGGTGTGTCCCCAAATGCTCTCTTTCGAGTGAGTTGCATCACAGGTATAAATAGAGGTTATCAGTCTTTTCTTGTACTTTTTTTTTTGGTATTAATAAAATTAAAATTTATGTAACTAAAAAAAAACTCAAATGTATAAATATGAGGAGGATGTCCTTGAGTGGAAAAATCACTATGTCCATCGTCCAGACGTCGAGCTGCGCCCGGGCGACGGCCGTGATACAACAGAGGTCGAACCTCCGCTGTATCACGACTGATCTCCGCTGTATCACAACCGTCGCTCAGACGCAGCTCGACATCCGGACGACGGACGTATTAACCTCCCCCTTTAGTGAGGGAGGCGAGGTTGGAAGAAAGTAATAGAAATTTCTTATTTAATGTCTGTATCTCAACCTTCTTATAATTCATTTTTTTATAAATTCGGTGGAGCCTTATATTATATATATATATATGTGTGTGTGTGTGTGTGTGTGTGTGTGGTTATTTATATATATGTTAAAGTATTTTTCAATAAATAGTTTATTTTATAATATAAATTTCATTTATTATTAATGTGATATATAGCTTCTAATAACATTATAAATATTTTATATAACTTCATTTTTTTTAGTTTTATCGCAAAAACATTTAAATATGTATATATTAAGTATTTAAATTTAAGAATATTATGTTTTAATTGCTTTAATAAATTTAATAATTCTTTCATAATCTTTTTATCCTTAATCTATTAATATTAATTATAACTAAATCATTCAAAATTGAAAAAAAAAAATTAATTGATAACATACAATTTAAATTAAAGTAATTTTACTTTTTTAAAATAAAAAATATTAAAGAAATATATAAATCTTGTATTTTGTTAATCAAATAAGCTAATATACGTAAATAGAAGCCTTTATATGCATTACCCTTCCTATTTATTTACATATCTAATGCATAAACTTTAACATTTACATTTATAGTACTCAAATCTTTAACATTGCATTAATAGTCTTTTCTGGTAACTTTTTCAATGGTAAATGTGACTTTTTATAACACTAAAATATTATAAATGTAAATATTAAATTTTGAGTGTCAGATAGGTAAATACTTAAAGATTGTCTGGTATGTTTATATACTATCGATGGGGAAATTTTTTGTTCGCCAACACCATGGTGCATTTCGGAAGACATTTTATCTAATTGATCGGGTATGACATTCCGAAGAATAATATGTCCTCCAGAAGAAAGAGAGCATTACCTTTGAAATAGGTTTAATCACCTGAATGATGAAAGCCTTCCTTCGGTCTACGGAACTAGAGGTTTTCTTTTTATCTTACGGGTGTAAGATAAGGTTTATTTTAATTATGGGGACTTGCTTCCTATAATGGCAAGTCATTGTAATTAATTACATCCTTAGGGTCATGAACCCTAAAGAAAACTCTCGATTAATATAGTGAGTCAAATTATGCAAGGATTAAAAAGATTTGAGCTCAAAGGGTAAGAAAATCTGTTTATCTGACAAAGAAAGTTTGATATTCAAGGGGTGTTATTTTAAAGGGTTTGAAAGGATTAAAGTGATGTTATTTGAACTGACTGAATATGATATTTGAAGTTTGAAAATATTGGAATTATGCTTTAACGGGTTAGATAGGGTTTAAAAAGATGAACCATTGACATTTAAAATAATAGACATGAATTGATAAGAACTCCTTTACTATTGAATAATGTAGGAAATGTTTCTAGATAAAATTTGAACCTTAACTCTATAAAAAGCCTAATAGGCGGATTAACCTAGGTACTAGGAAGTATTTTCCTGGTTAAGATGTTCATGGCTTTTTGCATCTCGGGAAAATCAGTATCCGTTAACTATCACCGGCCTCATAACCAGGAATCTCCCATAAATGTTG